AGTTTGGCCTTTGGACAGCAGTCATGGGAAACCACTGAGAGACTCTAAGGTAGAGCAGTGTGTGTGTGCGTGCATGTGCACTTGTGTGCTCATTAAGGCCAGCATGGAGGGTGGATGGAAGGACAATGGACAGTGAGGCCGATCAGGAGACTACTGCGACAGTCCAGGTGAGAGATGGAGCAGGACTGAACCAAGGCAGGAGCAACAAAATTTGAGAAGGGGGAGCAGATATAAGACAGATTCAAGCAGGACAAGAGATAGGATCTGCTGGCTGGGTGTGGGCATGAGAGAAGGGAGAAGTTCATATTGAGTCCTGCTACTTGCTGAGCTAGGGGACTCAGGAAGAGAAAATGTATGGTGTGGGTGATCAAGAGAATGACCAGATTTCATTAAATTTAAGATGCTATGCATTATAAGATATACCATTTTTAAAAATGTACCACTGAGGAGAAAAAACAGACTGCCATGCTGTGATTTTAAGATATATCCTGATTCAGAGATGTTAAAATGTGAAAAAATGTGCATATGTGAGTGAATGAACCAGGGTAGTTTGGCATATGGTGAACATGGCTGGGGTGACCCCGTCCTGAACAGCAGGTTCATGGCTGACACCGGACCTCACCCAGTCACCAACCTTTACAGTTTCAATGTTTTCACCTAGAAAAGGGGATAATGACAGCCAAAGCTAGCGGTGTTGTGGAATACTAATCAATGAATGCTTATCAAGTGCTTTGAGCAACAGGCCCAGTACTGAAAAAGTGCCTCTAGTGGCACCCGTACCTACCAAAGCACATCAAAGCCACTGTTGGCGACCACCCGGTCTGGAAGGTAGAGGGTGTAGTGCTTTGAGCAACAGGCCCAGTACTGAAAAAGTGCCTCTAGTGGCACCGGTACCTACCAAAGCACATCAAAGCCACTGTTGGCGACCACCCGGTCTGGAAGGTAGAGGGTGTGCAGAGGATCGATCAGTCCCAGTGTGGGTCTGATGGCTCGTGAAGCAATACCTAAAACATAGGATTTTCAATGGAGGCTAAAGGTATGGGCACCATTTAAAAAAAAATGATAACTTTAGGATAATAAATCACCATTGAAAAAATGAGGTAAAAAGAAATTTTAAAAAATGAGATAAGTTCGTTCTCATGTAGGGAGGCAGCAAGGAGCTGTGGAAAGAGATCTGGAGTCAGAAACCTGGAATTTTCAGTGGAGTGCAGAAGCTGGCTCCTGCTGGTTCCCAAGAGCCAACTGTATGCATCTCTCCCCAGCTCCTGAATGGGTGACATCATTGGCCATGGTGGGAATATTTACAACACAAAAATTGGCAAACACTACAAATCAGGGCTTATTTTTTTTATTCTTAAATTCCAGAGAGCTGGTTTACTAGCACACCATTGGTCCTTCCTCTGCAACTTACTCTGTGTCTTCGGACAAGTCCCTTAACCTCTCTGAGTTCTCTGTATGATTAGATCGTACTAACATAGGGCCTCCATCCCTCACAGAGCTGTTAAAGGATCAAATGAGGTAATATTACGCAAAAATCTTTTTAAAACTGTAAGGTAGAATTTAAGTGTTGGTTACTATTATTATCTTTTAAAATGTCAAAGGATAATGCAATTTTATTTCAAAAAGAGAAGTTACTACGGATGTGCAATTGAATGCTAATTTATTCTGCTACAAAAGCCTGGAAGGAGGATACTGAGCCAGACTCAAGGAGAGGGATATTTCTACCACATTAGCTAAGAGTCAGTAAGAGACAGAGAAGAAGATAGGATAAAAATAACTAAAATGACAGAAAGCAGAACACAGATTACCTGGAGATAGGGCTGGAAAGTCTGGCTGGGATGGAGCATGAGGGAACTTTCTGGAGTGATGGGAATGTTTTATATCTTGATTGGGGTGGTGGTTACATGGGCATAAAATTGTGTGCATTTTATTGTATAAAAATCACATCTCAATAAACTTGAATTAAAATGTAAAAAGATGTTGGAGAAAGGAAACACTCATTTATCATTGATATACAAGTACAGTCAGTAATTTGGGCAGAAAAAAAGCCAGTTAAGATTCATGGCATTTCAATATGCTTTTGTAGGTAATTCTCAAAAAGAAGTTTAACAGGCTGTTTCATATTTTTATATGTACTTGGAAAAAGAAAGACAATGTGTATATGCACATACTCTTTCCTCAACTCCATAACTCCTCGATTTTAAAATATTAGGATTAAAGGAAAGGGGATGGGGTTGAAAGGTAAGAGAGAGCTTAAAAAAAATCTATGGACAAAGTTCTTACCAGTTTTTACTTTCAAGTTTTGGTAGTCAAAAACAGCAATCCCAGTAGTTTCACTCCCAGTTCCAGAGGTAGTTGGGACTTGAACAAAATAATATAAATTTTAATGAAGCATCTAAGTAAAGGTCAGTGGAGATATTTAACTCAGACTTTGGAATAAGGAGCAAAGTTAGAGAAGGAAAAGGAAGCTTTGCTGACCCTGTTGCTCACTTGACATCTGTATCTTCAGTAACATGTATCTAAGTCTAAAATGTATAAAGTCTGTGTCTGTATTAACATGTACATAAGTCTAATGTGTATGACACCAGTGCCTGCATTAACATGCATGTATGAGGTCTCTATCTGTATTAGTGTACATGTATTGTCTGCATGTATGTTGATGTCTGCAACTGCATTAATGCATGCATATGCTTAACATGTATGATGTTTGTGTCTATATTAACATGAATGTGTGTTTAATATGTATGTGATCTCTGTATCTACATTAACATGCATATATGATTACATGCCTGCACCAACATATATGTATGTTTAACATGTATGCGTGTTTAATATGTATGTTGCCTGGCATTGCATGAACACATATGTTTAATATGTATGGTGTCTGCATTAACATGCATGTGCATTTAATGTGTGATATATGGCTCTATGCTAACATGCATGTATGATGTCCATGTCTGCACTGACATGTATGTACATCTACATACATGTGTTTAATGTTTATGGCATCTGTATCTGTATGAACATGTGTGCTTAATATATATGGTGTCTGTCTGCATTGACATGCATGTATGTCTAATATGTGATCTCTGTATGTGTTAACATACATGCATGATGTCTGTGTCTGCATCAACATATATGTTTACTAATCATATGTATGTGTGATGTCTGTGTCTGTATTAAGAGCCATGAGTTCTGGGAACCTCAGGCTCCTCTGGCACCAGAGCTTCAGCAGCTGTGGCTGAGTATTCAAATGCAGGCTGCTCAGCATCTCTGATAAGAAAACTCATATTCGCCATCTCTGAAAGACATCTTTATTGCCTCTTGGCAGCAAGCACAGTAATGCTCTGCCTTTGCTGGGCTCTGTGGTTCTGTAGTTCTGTCAAGTTTCTAAACTTTACTAATCACCCCTCTGTGTGATGCTGACACAGTTTCACCAGAGGGTTCCATTTGCCAGACACCAATTATGCTACTCCCTGCTGAGTCCTCATTCATGTCAAAGCAGTTCATCTGCCACCGACTCACTCGGACCCCATCACAAGGCCCGCTCACAATGGGGTGGGAGGGGAGAGAAGAGAGGACGAGACTTTAAACTGAAGATATTTTCCAGTTACCAATGACTGCATTTTAGCTATAAAACTTTAAACAGTAATATGCTAGCAGCCATAAAAATGGAAGGGAAGAAAATCCTGGAAAGTTCCAAGGTTGCTAAGGAACAAACAAGCTATTCCAATTTGGATTTGCGTATTTGTGCTCTGGGCAGCCATAGCAGATGCTGACCAGAGTGACATGGCCATGCTGGCCACATGTCCCAGGGAAGAGACAAAGCCTGAGGTCAGCTGCAGAAGCAATTGTATGGAAGAAAGGGTTGAGTTAACACCAGAAAAACAACAGTGAACATTATCCTTATACTCCATAGTGGCTGGCAAATGGGACAAAACAGAAAGAGGTTTAGAGGACAAACCTGCTAACAGAGGGACCTACTCATAAGTAAATGAGGACATCCCTCTCCTCTACTTAGTGACTCTATAGCTGAAATCTGCTAACTTTCCTACCGCTGACCCAAATTGTCTCTATCTGTGCAATAACGTGCATCAGAATTTTAAAATGAATCAATTGCTATCTGTTTTGGTCTTCAAACAAGGCATTCATTTGAAATGAATAAATCAGAAAGTTTTAGAAATATATAGCCTGAAATTACTGGCTTGCATCTTTCTTAAGGCCTTTTGCCAATTGCAAAATAAAATAAACAAACAAAGGGTCTTCACCTGCAATCAGAGGCTTAAGAGGCACAGTCACAGGCTGTCCCTTCCCGATGGGGGCGTTGACATAATCTAGGAAATCAGAGTGAGGGCTGGATGCATACAGATTAGCAGCTTTACAGGTGTCCATGGTAGAGCCACCACCCACAGCAACGTAGGCATCAAAAGCTCCCTTTTTGGCAAACTCAATAGCATCCATGAAGCTTGGAAAAGGGAAAATAAAAACCATCATGTTGGGTTTTTTTTAGAAATAAATTTCTGTGCCATTAAATAAGGCTTGGGGCAAGTTTTAAACCACAGTGATATATGTGTTGACTTCTGCTTAAAGTCAATGACAACAACAATACAGGAATACCTAGAATCTGTTGGTTCCACCCTCACATTGTCATAAAACTTAAAGTCGATGTCATTCTTCACTAGGGAATCCATAACTACTTGCACAGGAGGGAGCTGGGAGAGGTTCTTGTCTGTCATCAAGCAAACGTTTTTAGCCCCCATGTTTTGTAGGTCCTACAATAAAAAAAATAATTGTTCGGTTTGATAGCATTAGAACTATAATAGACTCTTTGGGCAAACTTAAAGTTGTACATTTTTAAAAACAAAGGATGTGATTGTTGTCAGTGCTTGTTTTACAAGATATGTGACATTTACACTAAGAGACTGTAGTCATCCCAAATACTTGCCATGCCCACTTCCTTTGATACTCCTGCTCCATATCTGATATGTGAAACAGCCATCTGAAAAAAAAAAAAATTAGGTGTAGGGTGCATTAGAGAGTTGGCCACTCCATTTCTAATAACCTAAAATGGTTCATCATTGTTTAGAGAATAAAGCATATACTCCTTAGCATGGTCTTGTAGGTCACCCCCCATCTGGCCTCACACTCACCACACTTCCGTAAGAAAACCTTGGCTCTGGTCATACCGGAATTACTTATCTTTTCCAAAAGACATCATAAATTCTAAGTAGTTCCCTCAGCTTCAAATGCCTGCCTTCCTTCACCGCCACACCTAAATCAATTCTCAAATTTTGTACTTTCTGATTCAAATGTTATCTCCATTTCTTTTTTGTCTCTTCATTCACTCATGCGACTGACCATCCATCCTTCCAACCACCCTTGCATGCATGCATCCACATATCCATCCATCCTCCCACCCAACCAACGCTTCCAAGTGTCTGCTATGTTCCAGGCACTGTCCTAGGCTCTGGTAACTTGACTATGAATAAGAGAAACATGACCTCATGAAGTTTACAGCTGAGAAAAGAGCTTTTATACTGATGGATGATGGGTCACTTTTGGTCCCAATACATATTTTGTTTGATCCATGTTATGTTTACATTTCTTTAATGAATTGGCTAATAACTCTTAAAAATCAGGATAAAAAAATTCAATAAAACCATCTGGATATTGTTCTCTCTTGAATAATCTGTCAACACCGGGACTGCATTCCCATGTGGCCGCAATCAAAGGGGTCAGGGGGCACATCCTTCAGATGGGACCTGTGCTCTGTGAACTCAGCACTGGCCTCACCCAGCCTGTTCATGGGTTGGTTAACTGTCAGCCCCTGGTGACATTTCAATTTATGACTCCTGGACTAGGAGGAGACAGGGATTTAAACAAATAGTTACAAGTAATTATAGTGTGATTAAAAATGCATCAGGATTAATTGCTCCTTTACATTTGCTTCAGCAGATTACTTTGACCTCTTTTGGGACTGTTATAATTTCAAAACTAAAGATTTAACATACATAAGTTGGAGAATTTGTGGAACTGGAGGTTTATCCTATTTTAATGGCTATACAGAAAACAGTGTTCCAAACATGACTCATGTTCTCAGAAGATTTATATTCTATTATCTCAACAAAGTACTTTGCTAGATAGGGCTGATCAAATAGAGATTATGGAACATGAATTGATAATGGATTTCAAATGAAATAATAATGCATTAGCAAAATACTCTAGTTGTATTTTTTTCAGGTCATTCATAAAAGAAAGAATGGATTAAATCTACCTCAAAGGCATACTCTGTTGTTTTCCCAGAAGGTGAAAATCCAGGAGCTAGAAATGTAGAAATAAAGCATAAATATTGTTATTTAACAGTAAATTACAGCAGTGAACATAAGCATCTCCTTGAAGCCTTATCTAAAATGTATTTTTCAGATTTCATTGTTGCACCTCAAATTAAAATTAAAACCTACATTTTAAGAGAGAATAATGCTAACTTAATGCCGATTTTGTGAAAATAAAGTTTTAAAAAATGTTTTCTCTGTTGAAGTAAATTCATTTTCGAAAATATAACGTATAAAAATCCTTTAGAGTCTAGAATTGGGTTATTTTTAGAGAACAA